TCACGCACGCCCTCCACTTCTCCCTAAAGAGCTCCTCGAAACCTGGCACCTCCAACCAGGCCGTTTCAAAGAAAAAACGAGGGCTACGTCGCACTCGATCCTCCCCTGAGGAGTACACAAGTGGTACATGGTCCGACCCAATACGAGTCTCCGCGACCAGAGTGCAGAGGGGAAAACCCATTTTCCAATCCGGAGACATGAACACACAATCCAGCACCGAGCGTACCGGGTCTAATTGTTTGTTTGTCCATGTGAATCGAGCGCCCGTTCTAACCACCTCCCTGAGGGCCATCGAGGCGATCGCAGCATTAAACATAGCCACCCGAGGCCAGTTTATGTTACTGTTACTCTTATCCGCACCCGACCTGATCAGGTTGAAATCGCCTCCCACCAGGACAGGAAGCGCCGCCTCAGTCATGGAGTTAACTTTGGCTTGGAGTTCTCCCAAGAACTCCGCCGATCTCGAGTGATCGGCCGGCCCGTAGACCTGAATGACAACCAATTCGCGGAGCGAGGTCCTAACTCTAAAATGCGCTGAGATAAAAAATGTACCAACGTCCCAGTCCATAATCTCATACAAAGCTCGATTTAAGCCTAGCAACAAACCACTGGAGTGACCAACAGCCGGAACGTGTTGCCACTCAAAGCGCTCCAATGGATCAATAGCGAGCAACTCATGGAAACGAAAATCCCCCTTGATCGTTTTCTGCAGCCCAACGATATCGACATCCTCTCTACGCATGTACTCCTTAAGTTGCGTCTGACGCCCCGCGTGGCCAAAGCCACGTATGTTCCAAAAGATGGCTCGCATCTAGATGACGCGATTGCGTAGCCGGACACCTCGCAAGGTGACCGCCTTAACCACGCGCCTCACCCTGCCACGGCAAGGCGAGGGAGGGGGCAACCCCTGTTGCCTGACCCCCCTCTTCGGGCACAGTAAGAGCCGCGGTGGCCCCTCCCTCGGGCTCACCGGGCCTTTGATCAGCACGCGCTGCCGCAGTAGCCGCGAGGGCTGCCTGCACCGTCTCCTTGGCGCGAACGAGCGAAATCAGCTCCCTGACTCCCCCTCGCAAGAAAAAACCACGCCGCTCGCTTCCAACGCCTCATGCAAGTGATCGTCCAAAAAGGAATCAAGAACCGTGAAGCGAGGCAGAGGATTACCTGAGATCTCCATGTTCTTCTGCGCCTGAAGGAGTTGCGCCCGCTGCAGCGACGGCATGTTGCCCTTGGCTCCCTTGGAGCGCGAGCTTGTGCGGACCGGTGCCGCCGGCACCGTCTTGGTACGCTTGGCCTTGGAGATCATCGCCGCCTTGGCCGCCTCTTGCAGCAGCGGATCAGTGACGGGTGGCAAGGTTGGGGCCGCCAGAGCCATGACCGACTGCCGAGGCGTGGGAGGCGCCCCCAGCGGTTCCATCGCGCGCACCGCCTCCGCGCTAACCTTGCGCACCGTCGTCTTCTTCATCGGCTTGACCGAGCCGCTCAGGGTGGAGCCTCACCCACCGGACGCCGGAGATCCCACCGAACGGAGCCACGGGGGGTTGGGGGAGAGAGCGAACGGGGAGCCGCCGCCGCCCAAGCCCACCACCGTAGCCGGGGCCGCGCCCAAGGGGGGTGAAGAAACCGACCCCATATTTGAGCCATACTGGTTGGGGATCGAGAGCGACAACCCCTCATGGCCCGACCCCAGCACAGCCCGCAGCCCCGCCACCCCCTCCACCGGCGCGGCAGGGCCCGACGCAGAGATCCCAAGCTTGTCCCAGGCCGCGGTATCGATGGAGTCGTCCTCCTCCATGCCGGCGTCTTGCTTCGGATCCTTGTCCTTGCGCTTGTCCTTGTCGTGATCCCCCGGGCCCCGACCAGCAGGAGGCGGCGGCGGGGGCGGGAGAGCCGGGGCCGCCGGGCGCGGTTGGTCCACCTTCGGCTCGAGCTTGATGGAGTATCCCTCGCCATTGAACCAGATTTGCACGGATCCACATAGCTTGGCCGGCGCACAACACGCAAACTTCATATGCACCGGGCCCGAACGGATTAGGGACAGTTCATCCACCACCAACGGCCGACCGATCATAGTCGTGGCCGCCATCAACCGCTCCACACGCCGCTGCTTTGGAGGCACGCCCCATAGCTTCACCCAAACCTCCAGCATTGACATCGCCTTGGGCTCGGCGAGGACCGCGTCACGGATGTCGGCGGTGATGTTATTGATGGAGAGGAAGAGCTTCCCGCTGCGCGTCGCCATCCGCAGCATGACAGGGTCCGGGAACGCCATGGAGAAGCAGTCCGTGTCGAACGGCGCCACCTGCCAGTCCCACTCGCCCTCGAAAAGATGGGGAAGCTCGGCCTCGAGGATCTCCTTGGACAGGACGCCGGGCGCCGCCGACACCAGGGCCGCGTTGGCCCCTAGCATTCCCTCCGCCGCCACATCCGCCTCCTCCGGGTATTGTAGGCAGAAGAAACCGCCACCCGCAAAGGCATGGCCCATGGTCTGGAGCACGAGCTGCTTTCCGTGTGTGGGGAAGTAGGCCGAGGCATGCCCCTCGTTGCTGCAGAGCACGCACAGTTGCTTGAAACCGCACTCGCTCTGGTAGTGGCCCGTGCGCCCGCAGCGGAAACACTCCGGCCTCCCGCATCCTCGACGGGAATGGGCTCCGCCGCCGTGCCCTTGGAGGCGGAGGGCTTGGAGGCCTTGGAGGGAGCCAGCATCGCCGGCTTGTGCTTCTTCAGCTTCTGCTTGGAGTAGGGGTCGCCGACGCGGTCACCTCCGTAGGGGAGAAGCGATTCCTTGCGCTTGAGCTCCAGCCCCTTCTTCTTGTATGCCTCCTTCTTCTTCTGCTTTCTCTCTTGCTCCTTGAGCCACCAAGCTGGGGGAGGCCCCCAGCCACCCTCCTCGCCGGCGTGCTCCGCCGCGCGCGACTTCGCTTGGGCGCGCAGATCCCGCTCGCGACGCCTCTCCGCCTCCAGATCCGGCTCCGCCCGCTTGTCAGCACGCCGCTCCGCCTTGGAGCCCATGGCTACAACCTCTGCGAAGGATCGGAGATGGGTTGGGGGAGGGGGTGGGGAGAGGGAGCGGGCGGATCCACCGAAGCGCCGCACCTCCGATGGAGTGGCTGGAAACCCTAGTGAGCTGTCGGAGGCGCCGCGGCGGATCCAGAGCCACTTAAGTACTGCCCGCACCGAGGACGGGCCAGGCCTAGGCTTCTCCGCGCAGCCCCTCGACTCTGAGCAGCCCACCTCTAGACGCAGCCCCGTCTCCGCGGAACTAACGTCCTGGACCGCGCACGGCCCAAGTAGGCCCCCTTGGCCCACGTCCTGGGCTTGGCCCACCGGCCCAGCCCGACCAAACTCCCCAACCCTAGGCCAAGGATCGGTCGCCTCCTCCGTCACCGCCACCGCCCCTGCGCCCTCCGACGCCACCGCCCCAGGCTCCACCTGCACCACCGGCGCAAGCCCCGAGCCCCGCGAAAGGGAGGCAGCCCGCGTGCTGCCCGAGGCCGCCCGCACGCCCCCCAACAGCACCGCGCGCACCAACGGCGCTCGACCAGACACCCCTGGTCGGCGAGCACCGCGGCCGCCAGGCGCAAAGGCCCGCCAGATATAACTTTTAGGCCCAGATATATTTATGAGCCCGAGTTTAGAGAATTCATGCTTCAAGGTTTCCTCTAAACCAATGAAATGAATTCCTGACTCAACTATCATTTCTGGGAGGAATCTTTATTCGTGAGGGTATCTGACATATGTGGCGCTAAAAAAGTGCACAAAAAGCCGTCAATAAAGCAGAGAAAACCCAGGAGCTTTCTTTATTCATTGTTTGCTAAAAAGGGGATTGGTTGGCACGCAATTAGCTGACCAAAGCTGGTTGTTGAAATTAACTAGCAATGGCCGGCGGTCCAAGCTTGTTAATTGTTGGTGAAGATCCAACCTCGTTTTCGGCATAGTTAAATATAGTACTGGTATCATCGTATTTCATGAGTTAACTGTGTGTGTGAGCACTAAATAATATACGAGTAGTGTGCTGTAAAAAAGTATATCATCTGACGACCAACTACGAAATGAGAAACTACCTAATAAACAAAACTCAAAAGAAATTATCAAAACCATACAAAAACAAGCACAAAACTTCTTCACTTTTAGAACATAAATGCATAGTAGCTAGTCTATTGGCGGAGCAATACTGATCAAAGTTTTAAATAGCGAGCTAAGCCACTTAGCGGCAGACCTCTTCTAAACGCTATAGCGCTATTTAAAATGTTTGTTCATGTGTTTGGAGCAAAGAGCCTTAGCGCAGGACCTATTCTAAATGCTATAGCATTGCTATAGCGGAGCTATAGCGGGCTATTTAAAACCATGATAGTGATTCAGCAATTCAGGAAGATTCAAGTCTGAATCTCATGCACAAATATCTTCTTTCTTTTATTTTCTAAGAGAACAAAACCTGCAACAAACTTTGCTGCAGGATCTTCTGCTTGTCAATTTAACCGCGTTGCAAGGAAAAAGGCAGGTGGCCTCGTTTTCGCAAGGCCGTAAAGACATTATCGTTTTTCAAAAAGGGTACGCTCTTATCTGATGAGTCACATGATATCATGTGTCCGTACTTTCGTACCCAATTTTCACTAGTGTATTCTAGTTAAATATATCTAGATTCGTCCAGCGTGCATGCGGCATTTCATTGGTGATGACGAATGAATGGCGACGATCATTTGTTTGCAAGATGAGAGGAGGGGTGGTGCCTGTAATTTGTTAAGCAGGACCGAGGAGTGAGGCCAGACCAGTTGGTATTATACTACTCCATTTGAGAGCAAGCAATAACCTAGGAGGGGCTTGGTCGGCGTGCTCAGTTAGTAAACCACTGAGCGGCCTTGTTTGCTAGTAGTTGCCCGTCAAGATCCAACCTCGTTTACGGCATAGACAAACATACTCCTAAATGTGTAGTTTATTGTTGAGCCTAGTGTGTGTAACAGTGCAAGTTGAGCTTACTGCGGGGCGAGAGAGCAGATACCGGCATGGCATCGATGTGGGTGATATTGATGGGTCGGAAGAGGTACGACTCCCAGTGGAAGGAGGTGAGGATCATCAATGGCTATGCCGTGCTCGTCGTGTATGTCTTCGACGCCATCAGAGGGGTCGGCTACCTGGTGGTCATGTGGGCCACGGTGGTGCTCCTCGGCGGCTTCGTCTCCATGATCGACAAGGTGGATTTCGGGAGGCTGACGCTGATCACCCTCATAGAGCTGCTCTGGTTAGTGCTCCTATATCTTCCTCCTTCCCATGCCCTTCAGTTAATTACCTGCTTATATTATTCCATCAGAGTTGAGTTAGTGGTTACTGGTTAGTCCTAATCTGTTCTCTGTTCACCAAAAAACATATGAATATGCGAATGCGCCAGCATGAAGGCCATAGTTGTAGTGAGCCCATGATTGTCCTCTGTGCCATAGTCGACATCGGAGCAACGCCACCAAAGATATCAGTGTGTAGTGCTCCACGGCCTGCACATCTCCAAAACATAAGATGCCGGGTAAAAAAAACATGAGATGCCACTTCATGAAAAACAGTTTTTTGGACCCCGATAGTTGCCCCAAAGTTTCCAATAGGAGCTTCAAGTTTTCTGTTTTGTGTTCCAACAAAATCATCGGCACTCGATTGAGTGGTTAATTAGTCTGTTCATCTGGATCCACCAAATTAGAGTAATGCAAACCATAAAGACAGAGACAAACAACATAGTATATCGCCAATGGTATTCTTTCGTGTCCTTAGTTTGTTTCTCGTCACTCGCGTAATTAAGACTATGTGCTAACTTGGAACATACAACAGGATAAACGCCTCATTCCTTGAAAGGATAAGATCTGCTGCTGACCTATTGTCGAGCTTGAAGGCAGTGAAAAACCTGCTGACACGCAGCTGGCAGCTGGGCGATAACGCGTGCAACCATCACCTGGAGCCGCGAGGCATCAAACGAGCTGCGCTGGCACTACTTGTGGCGGCGAGATGGGCTCTGGCGCTGGTTCACAGTGTGGTGTTGAGCTTCTGCATTGCCTCTGTGATGTGTCTCTTGCTATTTGGACTGTTGATCACCACCTTGATTTCGATACTCGGTCTAATAAGAGATGACCATTACGGCGACACGGCGGAGGGCAGAGCAAACATGGACCCGGCACACAATATCCTGTATGTCCTGTGTCTAGCCCAAGGTGCCTTGTTTGTCTATAGAATCGCCCTGTTCCTCTCGAGGGAGAGGATAGTGAAGAAAGTGAGCCGAGCATACGGCTTCCAAGATGATGGCCATGCAGTTTCATGCTACTTGGATGAGATCAGGAAGGGATACTCCAAGAAGATATTATCCGCCAGAGAACGAAACCTTATCACATATGCTATCGAGCTCATGGAGTCCAAGTCGCCCCGTAGCTGCCTTTCTGGGGCGCTGATACTGGACAGACTACTCACCCGGAAGCATCCAAACGAGATCAAAGCTCCTGATTTGACGGCACGGGCAGAAGAAAAACAGCATCAACCATCATCCTTGTCGGAAATGGCTGGAGCTCCTTTGGTTGAAAAGGATATGACGAATAAGGAGCAGAGGAAAAAGAAGAGGGAGGAGATGAGGAAGAAGAGGGGTGAGTGGAGGAAGAAGAGGCAGCAGAATCAGCAAACAGAGGAGGAGATCATCGCGGTGCAGCGCAGGATGATAAGGCGGCTGATCGGGTCCGCAGCCTCCACACACATTCTCCAGAAACTGCTTCATACGCTGGATTCGAGGCGCCCATTTGACAAACGGATGAGGGAGGCTGCCGCGAGGATAGTAGAGCACGTTGCCAGCGGTATCCGGTTGGTCCAGTTCCCACGAGGGATCCAATGCATATCTTCACTGCTCAACTGCTTCGAAGAATACTGCCGACTCCAGCCATATCGATCATCATTGTCATCCTCCTCCGCACCGAACACAAACGTAGACACTACAAGGACTCCGCCGCCGTCAAAAGCAAACAATGGTCATGATCAGGGACAAGACAGCAGCATCCACACTTCGACACTGGAGTCAGAGTTAGAGTACTCAGAGTCAGAATCAGAATCAGATTCAGAGTCAGATTCAGATTCAGACAGGAGGATCGACCGGTCATCATCATCTAAGATGCTCCATGGCTACAAAGAGCTGGTTCTAATTGGCCTGAATATCCTATGGAGCCTCGCAGGCAGCGAGGACAACTGTGCAATCATAAGCAAAGCCAAATATCCTGTCTCAAAGATCATGGCGCCTGTTAGCTACGACCTAGTGCACCACGCAGGTCATAGTAAATGGTCCACTAAGGTAGTAGTGAGATCATTGGCGGTGATGCTTCGGTTGATTGTGACTGCCAAGAGAGAAACTGCGACGGACCTGCTTCAACAGATGTCAGAGGATAAGGAAGCAATCGCCACCATGAAAACAATTGTTACCTGTGAAGAATGTAAAGGAGGAGAACTGCAGATGAAGGCCATGCAGATCCTCGTGCAACTATGCATGGAAGAAACTGCAGACAGAGTAAATCTCACTAAGATGCTCATAGGAATCTTCGTTAATGTTGATAGCAGTGACTCCATCAGAGAGACTACGGTTAAAGCACTGGTTGTGTTGTTTCTTGGCAGAAAAAGCATTGCCCCCCTCATCCCCAAGGAGGAGAATGATGGGTTTGTCGGTGGTCTCACCAAAATACTAGTGGGGGACGATGACACATGCAGAAAAAGTGCAGCAGAAATTCTGGAGCATCTATGTATCCATTATGCTGAGAATGTTGAATCTGTTAGTACACTCAAGAATGCCATGATGGGAGTGATGCCAAAGGTATGTACCTACTCTTTTCTTCACTCATCTCTGTTATTTCTTTCTTTCTTTTCATTCCTCGACATATTTACAGCCAAGCGAATTCTCTAACAATTCGCTCATCCACTCATTCATTCATTTCCCTTTCCCAACTTTTTGTTTGATTTGTAACTTTGAAGTAGTTGCATATGCTCTCAATATTTATATTGTAATGTACACACTATTGTCAATACTGCTGCAGGTGCTCGAAGAAATACTACTTGGTTGTGAGTCAACAGGGCAAGAAGGAATTCCCGAATCTACGAGTTCAGGTGGTGATGTCGAAAGCCAAGTCATTGAGGACAACGATAAGAAGAAGAAGAACATTACTTCTTCCCATCCTAGACAGAAGAAACACCACAAGCTGCATGTTGCTCTGCTATCCCTCTGTGTGACAGCATGTGACAAATTAGACCTTGATCTCGACTCAATTTCGCCGGGAGAAGGAAGAGATCGAGCTAGAGATCCCGGAGAATGCGTCGCGATCAGCCTTGCTACGAAGATGGTACAGTTAAACAGGGATCTCCTGACCGCGGAAAGCCTCGCAGCGATGAAACTTACCACTAGGATGGTGATAGCAGCAATGAAGAAACTCAAGAGCCACGGTGCCGCTGCCAAGCTAGCTGTTCTGGGGAGCCTCATGGGCTCGCTGTCGAGCGTTTCGGAGACCATGCTGGATCTCGAGGGCTGCATGTTATTTGCCAACAGGATGAGCAAGACGATGCGTGACACTGCTGAGACCCTCGATTCCCTCATGAAACAAGCACTGCAACTCCACAGAGAAATTGAGGGCCAAGGCTCAGAAACAGTGGCAGCTAGCTAGCCCTCTTTTGCAAACAAGATAGATTATTGGCAACAGATTTGCTTCAGATTTTTATTTTGAGATAGGGATTTGCATCTGTTCATTCACCTGTACTGTACTGTGACGTATTCTACTACGATGTTTCACGCATTGACGCCATCAACATTTCCTTACTTTGATTTTCAGGTGATGGAAATTACTCTCTAAAAGTATTGTGTTGCATATATACTTGTTTCATAGAGGGCACTGCCGCACTGCAGGAGTTGCGACATACCCGACATGTAGATAATCCAGATGGCAACCACAAGGCAGGGGCTGAGTTAACTTAACTATATTTGTGAATAAACTTGGAGTTAACATTTCAGTAGTACCGTTTAGCAAAGGCAACAGAGACAAACAAGCCAGTGTTGCATTGCAAGTACAGGGGCTTCCTAAACACAGAAGCTCCACCGGTGATATAAACATGACACATCCCCAGAGTAGTTTATGAACTAAGAACGGATTTTTTTGAGAAAATGGCACCAAATGCAGCTTATAAGTACCATGTAAATTAACGCAAAAGATGGCCAGGTGAAATGGGTATTGAACAAAGTTTCCATATCAGTACCCGAGTGAACTGCAAAACCGTCCTAGCTTCATCTCGTGTAAGAAAGTTAATTTATGTGCCCTGATTCTATTCCACACATGCCTCTATTTCATATACAGTACTCCCTCCGTTTGTTTTTATAAGACGTTCAGAGTTCAGACAACTTGCTTTGTGCTGTTTTTGAACAGTGTCTGAAAGTCTAAAACGTCTTATAAAAATAAACAGAGGTAGTACGTTTTAATAAACACATCATGGTATTCTAAATTCATCTAGAACAGGGTATGCAAGTACTGTGCAAATCTATCTATGCTCCAATGAAGTGCGGGCAGGGTCTGCAGCATGAGCGCCGGGGACGGGGAGGCACCTGGGTTGGGGAGGAGGCGTCGGCGCGCGAGATGGGAGCGGCTTCGCCGGAAGGGGAGCCGGCGGCGGTCGTCGGAGTGGAGGCGCCGACCTAGACTGGGAACGGGGTGTGCCGGCCAGAGGCAGAGTCTTAAATAGTTTGGGAAAATGTTCCTCAGATAGTTTGATCAGACGAAAAAAATACTTAAAAACCAGATAAAAAACGAAATTTGGTTCAACTCAGATCTCTTGAGCAACACATAGTAACACTTTTCCCCCTGGCTAACTAACACTACTTTTTCCCTCAAAAAAAAAAACTAACACTACTTTTTGCGCCAAAAAAGGATAATCAATTTTTTTTGGAATTTAGAAAAAGTGCAATCTCCTGGGGTGAGCCAAATCGGCCAGCTACTGCCGCCACTGTTGACACATATTTTCTTCTTATGTTGAGTATGTATTTTATTAAAAAAACAAACTATTTGATTGACATGTCATTTTAATAAATTTAGAATGATTTTCCTCTTTTCGTAGAGTGACTAGGACAAGCCTTCCTTCCTCCTATTGATATCCACCAGTGAGTTGGTAGATTCGCCTCCCCTCTGCTTGCCGCTCCGGTGACTGATGACGGTAATCCTAGTGTGTCAACTCTGGCTAGTATATTAGGGTTTTAGTCCATACACAGGCAGCTCTCAAGTGGATGGTGGCGCTTCATCTTTAAGTTGGTCTTCCGGGCTTCGATCCTCTTCGAGTTCGTCTATTGAGACAAATTAGACAAAGCTCCGACATAGATTCCTATCTGCTTATTGTGGCGGCCAGGTTAAAGTTTTTTTGTCAACTTCTTCGAATTGGTTGAAGGGTTCAACGGCGATGACTGTGACTCCGGGGTGCTGGTCCTTAGCTACACGCGCACAAAAATTTCCTGATTATTATCAACAAGGTCAGGCCAGCAAATGGCGACAGCGGCTCGTTTTGGTGTTGGCAGTGGTCGTTCGATGATCCAGGCACCTCGATGTCATATTTATTATGTTCTGCTTTTGTACAACTAATGAACCTTCATAATAGATCTGAATCCTTTTCGTGAAAAGGGACTTTTTTAAAACGTGGCAAAAGAATTGCCATTTTTATTGAATAAGAAGAAGAGAGAAATGCCTGGTTAATTGACGAAAAATCAGGCTAAAACCGATATAACCCAACTCACAAACATGGGCACCACAGGCCAACCTGGCCATCGACATGGAGCAAAACCCACGACGGCCCATGTATGCATGAACAACTGACAGCTCCGACTTTGATGACGAGCATTGCCAGGGATATATGCAGGACTTTCGTCGACCGTGCCCACCAAAAATGACCACCGAGCACCTGCCATCGTCACCACCTGGACTCGCTTCATCGCATCTCTGACTTCAAAACAACTAGGCAACCCACGGAAGAGCATCTCAGACACATCGGGAAGATATGACTACAGAAGCCCGAGTGGCGACCCAAGCTCATCCCGACGTCATCATCATCGCCAAATAGAAACTAGCACCCTCGAAACAGCCGCCTCAACAAACCACACGGCGAAGATGACGCCATCTACCGGTCTCCAATTGTAGCCGGCCCCAAGAGGATGCCCCCAAGGAGGAGGAAGACATGAAGGTGCTTTCATCGCCCAATCTCGCAGATATGAGGTTTCCCTCCGGTGCCAAGGCCACGGGGAGAGGGGAGGAGTTGCACACAATAGCAACACTTCCAAGAAAGAGCGCGATGCCTTTGAGGTCGCCGTATCCAGCAAAGGCCGGAGATAGGGTTTCCGAAAAAGGACTTTTCGCGTACCTAGAAAAAAGAAATGGTTCATCTCCATCTCAAAAAGATGAATAAAATTTTGACACATTTTGCTTGACCGAATCGGACCCATGTGAGGACTACATGGACGGCTCTGCAAACTGTTGAACACAGGCCGCCAAGCAGCCAGGCGAGAGATAGAGGGGTGTGGATAAGAAGGAACAAGTTTTGGTGGCGATTCGGTTGGGTTGTGGGGTAGGAAGGGACGATCCACCTGAAAGAAAGAGGGGCCATCGATCTCCACCTTGCTTCCAACCCAAGCGAAACCCGATCTCCGGCCCGAACTAATCTCATCATCCATCCCGAGTAAAATAAAGCACCCGGTCGATGATTTCCTGTCCTTTGGTAGGAGGCCTGTCCCCATCCAGCACGGAAAAAGTTGCTCCCTGGCTGGTGTGGAGCGACCTACGGGGTGCACGTACAGGTTCCCGTACTGTATATACATAAAAAGCTCGCACTGTCTGCTCACTATACCAGAGTGTGTTGGCGATGAAAGAACGAAGTAGATTTCACCCGCAAAAAAAACGAGGTAGTTGTGTGTTACCGTCACCACAAAATCAACTGTAAATTCACCTCCAACCTCATCTTAGCCGAACCCCACCAAAAAAAAAATTGTATTAGCAGAGCAATGTGCATTCTGTGTAACCAAATTTTTTTTGCATAGTAATACATGTCTCATTCATATCATAGAGATTAAAAGTACAAGTCATGTAATGACCGACATGACAAAACCGAAAAGATAGCAGAACATTTCTAAATTTGACACCAACGTCCGTCACCTGCCTCCGGTACCACCACAGTAGCTACCAAAGAAAAGAATGACAGACCACCTCCTCACCTGAGCTCGACGCGGCTCCATCGCTGATATGCAGCTTTGTGGACCTTCAAGGTGGCTCACCAAAAGTGAAGCCATTGCCGTTGAACGAATCAGGCCGGGGCAACATCCCCGACACGCCATCGAACTCCAGATCTAGCACCCCACCACGGCTAAGACGCCGAAGGAGGAAACCATACATGCCATTCACGAACCACGAGCTCATCACACGTTCCGTCTTCCAGATGTCGTCGATGCAGACCACAATATGCATCCACTCCTGGACTACCTCCCAAGCTCCGCGCCGACGCTGGAGCAAACGCCGTCACAGCGGCGGAGCTTGAGGACACAGGTCCATCACGAGGATGTCGCCACCGCCACGCCATTGTTGGTTGAACAGACTGGTTTCCACATTCATCTATCGGCCTCGTCAAGGAAGGATTCGAAGAATCTTTACTCAACACCATCATCATCGCCGCCGAAGCCGAGACGATGAACAGTCTAAAAACCTAAACTACGAGGAAGTAAAAACGATCCACACGTGTGGATCCGGCGACCCCCCTCACCATCGACGACCGAGGTCGCCGGAGGACGGCGCTGGAAGATTGGCGTCTCCTGGCGGCGGCTAGGGTTAGAGCTGCCAGGGACGAGAGCACTTCTATTATTGTAACCAAATTTCTCGATCATACTATCTCTGTCGGCGAAACCAGTGATTTATAACATTGTGTAAGCGGTGCACATTCTTTTCCCTATATGTACATTTTGTTTCATGACATAAGATTTGTTAACTCGAAACGTCACACCAAGATGACACGAGCGAAAAAGGAGCTCATGCCACGTATGTGTGTATATGTGAGCATCAACGATTGTACCGTGTTTAAGAAAGAAAAAGCTCATACTCGGCCAGCCGTTGATAATAATACAATCTTTTTTAAGTGCGTACACTAGGATAAAAAACCGAAGGGCAATCCTGAGAGCAATAGCTTTGGCACAGATTACGAATTTATGACCCCGCGATCCATCCATTTGATCCATCCACAGAAACCCACGTACACATTGATGGAAAGAAATCAACACACGGGTCAGATCACAATGCACTAATTGGATAAATTGTTTCGCAAGCAAAGAGATGTGCACAGTGAAGAAGGGGGCAGGGCAAAGATGAGGGTGCGTGCCACCTGCCACCCCACCCCGGCCGCTGCAACATAAATACCCTGCCTCGCCGTGGGCAGAGCTCTCCATTCACCCGTCGTCGTCCACCTCTCTCTGCTTCCCTTGGTTCCTGCCTCGCGTGGCGTTTCCCGGGGCTCTCCTCGCGGAGAAGGAGAGCAAGGTCAGGTGAGCTCGTCCTCCTGCCAATGCCAATGCCAATGGAGTTCTTCTTTCTTCTGCGCGTGCTCTGCTATGCTCTGTTTCAGTGTCGTCGGTGCGGCTTCCTCTGTTTTGCTGTCAACAATTAAGAAAAATAAAGTGGTTTGCTGGAGTAGCCACTAGGGGACAGAAGATAGCAATCAGCATCCACTTGCGGAGATGTGGTGGATGGGTGCTTCCGCCGGATCTGCGGTCCTGCCAAGTTGCCATCATTCTCTTCTCTGGGTTTAAGGTTTCAGCACCAACTCACCAAGTGGATGCATCTTAGATGTTGTTAGATCTAGTGAGCTTACTCACTCATGGATCCTCCCCCTTCCCGGCCGACAAGTCTGCGCTTCAGTCCGTGTCGGAACTCGCGCTGTCGGCCGGTTCTCCTTTCTTGTGCTAGCACCCATATGGTTAATTAGCTCCAGATTATTTCTGTCATTTCCCGGTAACACGAAAAGCTCGACGCCTAATCACCACCATTAGTCTTAACAACCACCTTGGCATGGCCTGCAAGAAAGGAATCCCACGCTGATCTCGTGCTTTACAAGGTGCTCGCACGCGTCACTCTTCCTCCCTGCCACTGCCGGCTTCGGTTCCAAGTTCCAACGGGCGGCTACTGCTGCTCATGCAAACCCACCGGCGTCTGTCGGCTACTTGAACTTCTCGCCGGACAACACCTGGGCTACCTGTTGGTTTCTCACTTCAGATCCGTATAATTATAAACGCGCACACTCCACTGCTTTCTCCTTCTCGGTCCTCTGTCTGAAGCCTTAAGTCTAGATTTTGATTCTTGTATGCCTCTCGATCCTCTAGTTTGCGCCGTCGAATGTTTTATTTTTCTTTGGTCTTCTTCAAATCTTGCTCGGTTCCTGTTCATCTGTTGGATCTCTGAACTGAAGAACACACCGCTGATAATCTTGTTCTGCAGGCTAGCTTGAGCGATGGGGGAAGCCGCCGGCGACCGCGTACTCAGCCGCCTCCACAGTGTCAGGGAGCGCATCGGCGACTCCCTCTCCGCGCACCCCAACGAGCTCGTCGCTGTCTTCACCAGGTTCGACCCCCATTCCCTCCCCTGCACTGTAACTGCTACTCTTTTTTCCCCTTATTATAAATTTATTACGCAAGTATGTAGATCTCCTGGCGGTGGCTAGAAGAAAACTGTTGCATAAATCTGGCGTCCCCTAGTGCGCAATGGATGCCAAACTTCATTCCTACTCAACATACCTGGTCAATCAATCAAATATTTAAATAAGTTTTTCTAGAAACCTAGTATACTGAACAGTGAACACTGATGACACACCTCGTGCTGTTGGAGTTCCGTTGATTGCTGCCAGATCTGACCAGGTGCAGCTGGGTAGAATGATTGTATTCTGCACATTGACCTAGTGCTAATCAAGACTTGCTGAACATTATTATGCACTAATCGGTCTGCCGATGCCTGGATCTGACAGGATCTATGTGGCACAACAACTGACTGAACTGAATCTCATATAATTTTGTCAAGTTCAGTAAATGCACCGTCAAAACCAGAACTGTAATGTTTCGAATGGAATTCCAAATTCTTCTCTAAATGATGCATGGTGTGCTAAACAATGGCTTCAGATGTCACCAATCTGACTTGCAAATATATTTAGGTGGATCTTACTCGATGCGATAATTCTGAATGCTATATGGTGGATCTTATGCGGCATATGACGATGCTTGGTGCAGGCTGGTCAACCTTGGAAATGGAATGCTGCAGTCCCACCAGATCATCGCTGAGTACAACACCGCGATCCCCGAAGCAGAGCGAGAGAAGCTCAAGGATGGCGCCTTTGAGGATGTGCTCAGGGCAGCGCAGGTTTGCATCTGACTTCTTATCTCAGCAGACTTCTTCAGCATCCTTGTTTGCTTTACCTGTTGCTCTAACTGGTGCACTTCTGTATATGATACAGGAGGCGATCGTCATCTCGCCGTGGGTCGCGCTTGCCATCCGTCCAAGGCCTGGTGTCTGGGAGTATGTGAGGGTCAACGTGAGCGAGCTCGCTGTAGAGGAGTTGAGTGTCCCTGAGTACCTGCAATTCAAGGAACAGCTCGTGGAAGGAAGGTAAATTTTTTAAAAAAAAAATCAGTACCAGAACTGGGATACTGAACAGATAATTTGATTCTCTTGCTCTGATGATATTGATTCAATGTTGTGTGATACTATTTTCATATGTTGGCAGCAACAAGGACTTTATGCTCGAGCTGGACTTTGAGCCATTCAACGCCTCCTTCCCTCGCCCTTCGCTGTCCAAGTCCATCGGCAACGGCGTGCAGTTCCTCAACAGGCACCTGTCATCAAAGCTCTTCCATGACAAGGAGAGCATGTACCCCCTTCTCAACTTCCTCCGCGCACACAACTACAAGGGCATGGTAAGACAGTCTTTCATCCTGCATACATTGTTTAAACTTTGATGAGACTTGCCAGAAAAAAAGAAGCATGTAAACTTGTACTCTGTTTCCTCCAGACTATGATGCTGAACGACAGAATCCGCAGCCTCAGTGCTCTCCAGGGAGCTCTGAGGAAGGCCGAGGAGCATCTGTCTGGTCTCCCGGCAGACACTCCATACTCAGACTTCCACCACAGGTACTGACCAAGTGACCATTGTATTGTACAGAATTATTAACCAGTTAATGTAGCCTGGAGTATTTTCTTCAGAAGGAACCACTGAGATGTTTTTAACGGTTCTTTTGATTGGACAAATGCAGGTTCCAAGAACTTGGCCTGGAGAAGGGTTGGGGTGACTGCGCCAAGCGTGCGCAGGAGACCCTTCACCTGCTCCTCGACCTTCTCGAGGCTCCAGACCCGTCCACGCTCGAGAAGTTCCTTGGCACAATCCCGATGGTGTTCAATGTTGTCATCCTCTCGCCGCACGGTTACTTTGCCCAAGCCAATGTCTTGGGGTACCCTGACACCGGAGGCCAGGTAATAACATCCTGCATAGTTTATACATGGTCAAGTGATTAAACCTCTTCTGATTAATCTTTGAGCTATGATTCCCCAAAGGTTGTCTACATTCTGGATCAAGTCCGCGCTATGGAGAATGAGATGCTGCTGAGGATCAAGCAGCAAGGCCTCGACATCACACCACGGATCCTTATTGTAAGTGTGACGTCTGGTATGACAATTAAAACTTGTCGTATGATACTGAAACATTTTTTTTGGCCCTGCACAGGTTACGAGGCTTCTCCCTGATGCAACCGGTACGTCCTGCGGTCAGCGTCTTGAGAAGGTCCTCGGAACAGAGCACACCCACATCCTCCGTGTGCCATTCAGAACTGAAAGTGGAATTGTTCGCAAGTGGATCTCTCGTTTTGAAGTCTGGCCGTACCTGGAGACTTTCACTGAAGTAGATGCCTCCTAACCTCACCATCATACCTTTGTCATTATTCACAGACATATTTTGCTAACTCTGCCCCATTTCTGCCAGGATGTGGCACACGAGATTTCCGGAGAGCTCCAGGCCAATCCTGACCTGATCATTGGAAACTACAGCGATGGAAACCTTGTTGCGTGCTTGCTTGCACACAAGATGGGTGTTACACATGTATGAATTCTAGCCACTTCTCTGTTTCTGCAAGCATATTTACCACACATTGATCTTTTCTGATGTTACCACGATCATTGGTCTGCAGTGTACAATTGCACACGCACTTGAGAAAACTAAGTACCCCAACTCTGACCTCTACTGGAAGAAGTTTGAGGACCACTACCACTTCTCATGCCAGTTCACTACCGATCTGATTGCAATGAACCATGCTGACTTCATCATCACTAGCACCTTCCAAGAGATTGCTGGAAAGTAATGTTTCTTTACGACTGAGCTTTCTCTGATGATATCCATCTGTTTTGTTGTAGACAGCAGTTGTCTTTGCATGGCCTAATGGAAATTCTGCCTTTTCAGCAAGGACACTGTTGGTCAGTACGAGTCTCACATGGCATTCACAATGCCTGGAATGTACCGTGTTGTCCATGGTATCGATGTTTTCGACCCCAAGTTTAACATAGTCTCACCTGGTGCGGACATGTCCATCTACTTCCCGTACTCCGAGTCACAGAGGAGGCTCACCTCCCTCCACCCAGAGATCGAGGAGCTGCTCTACAGTAATGTTGACAACAACGAGCACAAGTAAGAACTGCAGAATTGTTTCTTACCGCCTGAGCTGCAACGGTCTGATGCATTTATTGCTGTACATCTGACTAGAATACCTTCTGCAGGTATGTGCTCAAGGACCGGAACAAGCCAATCATCTTCTCGATGGCTCGTTTGGACCGTGTTAAGAACTTGACTGGTCTGGTTGAGCTGTATGGCAAGAACCCTCGCTTGCAGGAGCTGGTTAACCTTGTGGTTGTCTGTGGTGACCATGGCAATCCATCAAAGGACAAGGAGGAGCAGGCTGAGTTCAAGAAGATGTTTGACCTTATTGAGCAGTACAACCTGAATGGCCATGTCCGCTGGATCTCTGCCCAGATGAACCGTGTCCGTAATGCTGAGCTCTACCGTTACATCTGCGACACCAAGGGTGCCTTTGTGCAGGTAACTACGTGTTGCATAAACCACATTCTTGCCTTGTAAAAATATGTGTTCTCACATACCCCTTTTGCGTGCAGCCTGCTTTCTATGAGGCGTTTGGGCTTACTGTCATCGAGGCCATGACCTGCGGTCTTCCTACCTTCGCAACTGCATATGGTGGTCCTGCTGAGATCATCGTGAATGGCGTGTCTGGCTACCACATTGATCCCTACCAGGGTGACAAGGCCTCTGCTCTGCTGGTTGAGTTCTTTGAGAAGTGCCAGGTTGACCCCAGCCACTGGACCAAGATCTCACAGGGTGGGCTTCAGCGTATTGAGGAGAAGTATGCAACTCAAAATTCACTAGTTTTTACTACTTCCAAGGATAACTAGTTTGCTGAGACTAACAGTTATTCTTATTTAGGTACACCTGGAAGCTTTACTCTGAGAGGCTGATGACCCTCACCGGCGTGTATGGGTTCTGGAAGTACGTCTCCAACCTCGAAAGGCGTGAGACCCGCCGCTACCTCGAGATGCTGTACGCCCTCAAGTACCGCACCATGGCAAGCACCGTTCCGCTAGCTGTTGAGGGAGACTCCGCGAGCAAGTAATCTGGCCACCTCCTGGCTGAAAGAAGGGTGGCTTGGATTCCTGCAAAGATTGAGATTTGAGAATGCTTTGATTTTCTTCCTAGACGCTGCTCTTTTGAAGATTCAAGGTCGAGTCAGTGTGCTACTTTGGTTTAGTAGTGGGAGTGAGTCGAGACAGAGGAAAATGTGGTGTGTGTCAGTCGGTTGGTGCTTGTCGTATTTCTTGGATGTTACCGTTCAATAATAGGTACGGCCTTGGTGCCGTTTCTGAAATAATAATAGTATCATCCTTCCTTGTTTCCAAGAAATTTTTTGTCACTGCCACTGAGCTCTATTACCTAATACTACAATTACTATTTACTAGAAGGTGGGATAAAGAGCTTTTGCTACTTTAGTTAACCAAATGAGCATTGTTACTTTAGTCTTAGTCACTCCACTAACTTAGTCCTAGCTTCTATGTGATTGGCAATGATGTCTAATGCAATATATATGAATCCAACCCTTCACATATGAAACTGTAGTTCAAACTGGTGGCCAGAAATTCGAGTTCGCTGGTAAAATTATGTTCTGAAACTCGCACCCTCTATGTAGTCAGAACTCAGAAGTCAGAACAATTAGTCGAAGCTCAATAGGTGTGCCAAGAACATCCTAGGAGGAGGGGCCATCTATTGGTTATAGCCCATTGAGAGAGCTCTGTGAACCAAACAATCTTAATACTTCCTCCGTCTCAAAATTCTTGTCTTAAATTTATTTAAATACGGAAGTATCTAGTTACGTTTTAGTGTTAGATACATCCGTATTTAGACAAATCTAAGACAAAATTTTTGGGACGGAGGGAGTATGATTTATGTGATCAAAAGATATTGATTAAACACAATCAGAACTGCAGAAAATGATGTCTGTAATCTGACAACAAATGTTTTACTTCCCTTTTTAGTAGCACATTTTACTACATACGAATCAGAGCTGAGGGGTGAGCGTTCTGAAGCACCAAAACCAACAAAATCAACTGATTGCTACACGAGTTCTTCCATAAGAATTCCTACGCTTCCTCACTCATGAACGCGAAATAGTCATAAAAGGGGAGGAGTTAGGGAGATCTGATTAAGAAGGGCTGGAGCAAGAGTGGACCGTGCAGACCTTGCGACGGGTGCCTGCGGCGAGGGTTCCGCGCCCAGCGGTGGCGCCCACTCGGCAGCCATGGTCGCCGGCGTGCCGCTCCGAACTGGAGGTGGCGGCCATTGTTATCGTCATCGATCCACCGACGCGTCCAAGCAGAGTTGGGGGGAGGAGGCGATGGGATGGTTGGACCTTGAGGAAGCTCCAGCCCATTTAGGACGGGCTGTTCAAGTCAGTGGAGCCCAAACAGCAAGCAGCCCATCCAACTATTTGTTTTCCTTCCATAAAAAAAACTATTTTTCCCCGGTAAAAATCATCAATGAAGCAGAGCGAAGCCATTGGAGAGGAGGAGAGGGATCGACGCCGCGGGCCACCGCATTGCAGCTGCGGACTCCCTCGACAAGGTCCGCTGTGCTCCCCTACGCTCTAGCTTGAACCTACATTAACCCATCCGCCGCTTGGTACCCGTCGCGCATCTGTTCTCGTGGGTAAGAGAAGAGACTTGAATCGCGTTGTGAGTGATTAGATTATCTTTTTCTTCTGGTATAAGAACCCTACAATATAGAGACTGGGCAAGTGTTGTATGCTGGTCATGAGCCTGATGAGTGTTGTGCGGCTCGATGAATGGAACCCAAAATGAAGAAGCAGAGGGAAGCCATTGGAGTTGGAGAGCGAGAGAGGGAGCGTCGATGCAGGCCACTATATCATCTCCGCTGAATCACTCTGGAATGTAGGCTTTGTTGTCCCGGGGAGAAGGTCAAGCTGATCATCGCAAGCATGCTCAATGTGGTCGCATGGGCTGGTAGTCTAGATCATAATTCATATGCTGAGTCGAATCAAGAAGTCCAAAATATGTAAGGAGTCAAGATTAGGGATAGCCATGGTGAGATGCAGGCCCGGCCCATAGGCTGGGCAAACGGGGCGCCCGCCCTGGGCCCCCGGAAGGCAGGGGCCCCAACCAGGAGGTAGTATTCCTTCATAGGTCGTAAGAAGCCCAAGAAATTTATTGAGAAAACAGAGGGCCCATTCGGTCGTGGCGCTGGGGCAAAACCCATCGTCAATCTTTCTCCTCGATTCCTTCAGATCGCAAAATCCCGACTCCCATAAACAGCGCCGCCGCTCCCATGCGTCTCCGATTCCAAGGTCGCCGCTGGCCCTTAATGGAGATTAAAGGCGAAAATCCGTTCCCATATTAGCTCTCCTTCCCTTCTCAATGTTATTCGTTCCCCATCAACGGTAGGTGTTCTTCTTTTCTTCCTTCCCATAATCCTGTCCCTCCTCAATTAAATGGCTCTGTCCTCCTGCTCTGAGGAGTCCACATCTACCTGCACAGGTGTTCTTCTGATATTCACTGGATCTAAGTGTGAGAGAGTCCTCGGGGGTCAGGAGATTAGGAGAACTGCAGAATGGAGGAAATTATTCAGTTCTTGGTGTCGTCTTCTCGTTCGTGCTGAATACTGCAACCTGCGGATCTGGCAATCAAGATCCACATCAATCCATATTTAGGTGCGTTTGTTCCCTATATTAATCATTTATGCTAACTGTTCTTGTTAGTGTCATGTCGTCTAGAAAGCGTTTATCTGGTAAAAAAGATAAGTAAAAGGCAGCTCAAAGATGAATTGGTAGAAACCCAAAAATGACTAATTGACAATTTTTTCAGAACTAGTAATTCTTCTAGAGACCCCCTGGAACTGGCCATAGTAAGTGTTGAAGAGCAAATGACTGAGAATACAGATGCTACTAATGATGATATGAACGATGGTGATAATAATTCTAGCCAACATGAAAAGTTGAAAACCTAAGTCACTAACCAAATTCAGAAACACCGGGAGTCGATGAACAACAATCATGCACTATTGATATTTTGGATCCTCCAAACTATGACAATATGATTGATAAGGCTAGGGATATTTTAGTTGAGATAGTAATTCTAAACATAATTCTAGACAAAATGAATTCTCCGCTGTTAATATTTAGTAAAGCAAGTTTATGTGGAATTAAATTATTTCATTACTATCATGGTGTAATTCTCCTTATCAATAAATAAATTGTACTGTCAATTCTAAAATCCAAAGATCATCGTCTATGCTATGAACCAGATATTTACTTTTCTTTTTAAATAGAAAACATTTTTAGCTTTCGAATCAACAAGGGCCCCTTGTTGATGTCTTGCCCTAGGGCCCCGCAAAGCTATGGGCCGGCCCTGGTGAGATGTTTAAATTAGAAGGAGGTCATGAGAAAAATAATTCAGTACTCCATAAGTCCGAGTTACACATGAGTTAACACAGAAAAATCATACTGGTTATCCAATTGCAGAGTTTTGCCCAGTTTGTGTAGGTGTCCTATTTGTGTAAGATGTGTAATGTTCTAGTGAGTTATCCGAGAAGCTCAAATACATTTAAAGGTTGAGAATAACTTCAATTACTTTTCGATATGCAATGTACTTTTTCAGGAAAAAATGTTAGTTGCATATTCACGTCACGAGAGAAGGGAAATGGTCAACCATGTCCTATGTGCCATATAGCCACGATAGGACTGGGTGATCAATAGGAGTCATAATTATTTCATCTGACCTTTGACAATCAATTGTATTTATTTTTTCAAGATCGTTATACACACATATCCAAGCAAACAGTGTTATAAAAGGTTCCCCAGCAAGGCTAGTGCAAGACAGGAAAGAGATAGATGTTTGTCATACCATGCATATTTCCAACAGTATTTTGGTCGGGACAAAAATCTTACCAAATATGTGCTTGAGAGGTACCAGGAACTCAGTGATGCCTTCGGGAAAAAAATCTGCGATGCACTAACTAATACGATGTCAGAATAGTGGCCCTAGGAGGTAGGAGGTGGTGAATGTAGGCTGCGCAAGGCGGCGTGGTTAGGCAGATACAGGGGCAGCGTCTCTAGTGGTTTTGAGAGCATCGGAGGACTGGGGCGGCGCATGACTGTAGAGGGATTCTCTCACTATCAACAATGTTTCTCTTCTCCCTCTGACGGTACTGGTCCTAGCGGCATAGTAGGGAGCTGCTTGGTGATATGTCTTCTAACCTACTATGTGTAGAGTGCAGGGATGATGAAATGTGGCGGGGACCCTGTTTTGTCGGCATTCATTAGCGAGCCAGAGAATTCGATCTTGTGTTGCTAGGTGGTTTCTACTTTTTTGGCATAATAAAGTGGGGGTTTCATGCCATGCAGTCTATGTTTGTCTGTTTCTCCTAGTTTTGTGAAACTTTTAACCAAACAATTGTATAGGCAGTAACTCACCAGCAAAGAAAAAGAGGTAAAAGCATCCCAGGTACCCTAAATTGCATGACATGTGATGATTTAGTCCCAAACTTGCAAAATGCAATTTTGCCATACCCCAACTTGCATTTGATGTGACAGTTTGGTCCTTGGCCAATCACAGAGCAACAAGTGGGAGCCAGGTGGGTGGACCGGTCGTCGCCCGCACTTTTGCTAAAAACACCCTGCCATTTTATCTAATCAACTCGTAGTACATGGCGCCTGAATTAACTTTGTCTCAACTCGCATCTCTGGTTAAGCTCTCCCGTATCAAGCTCTTCGCTGGCGGCTCGCCGGTCAAGTCCGTCAGCGTCTCGTCTCCCCACTCCGCCTCCCTCTCAAGCTCTCCGCCGGCGGCTCGCCGGTCAAGTCCGGCAGCGTCCCGTCTCCCCCCTCCTCCCCCGCGGGCGGCGCCGCCAAGATCCGTCGGTCCTGCATGTGCTCCCCGACCCCGGGCTCGTTCTGTTTCAGCCTGCACAAGGAGCAGAACAGGAGGCCCAGGCCGGCAACACCAAGCCCGCCTCCCCGCCGCCCGTCGGCGGCGGCTGCTCTAGACGCATGGTAAACATGCTAGCGCAACGTGTCCATATGGGGAGCGGACACTGGGCACGCAGGGCGCTGGCTCCGTCTCCCTCGGCACAACAGCTGCAGCACAGAAAGCGCTCCGACGGGTTCCGCGCTGGGGCCAGCCGGCTCTCCGCCATGTCCACGTCCATGGCTGGCAGCCCCCTGCAGTGAAAAAACAACATCGTCGACAGGCCAGAGCGAAGATACTACTAGTACATACTGCACAAACTATACATAGGTAAGAAATTCCCCGAATAATCCCGTTCGCTGTATAGAAGATCGGAGGGGATCAGGCCGGTAGATTGGAGTTTTAAGACCCAATTCGATTCTGGCCTGCTCAATTAGCTGTTGATAGAGTGGCTGTACGTAGAGTGAGCCTCTTCCTCCTCGCTGCTGCACATAGAGTGAGCTCTCTTCCTCTCTTCCCGCTGTGTATAGCCCTTGATTTTGGTTCTGGATATACATCAATACATGAGTGACAAATTGGAGACACACATACATGCATTTGATCTGTCCCATGACCGGAGGCTTATCCATCTTTGGTTGATTTTGCCGCAACAACTCTCTGCTCTCGTTTCTGTTTCTGTTTCTGGAGTGTGGCTGCATCTCGCCCCTGTTTCGGGTTTCGGATAAGCTCTGCAAGAGATCTGCAAGAGATCAGTGGTGTCTCGCCGTCGCTTGCTCCTGTCACGCTGGCGGCACCCGTGCCTCCGGCCAGATCAGGCCACCAACTTGCAGCACAGGAGAAATATCCCGATTCCGACAAAGTTTCTGCAAAGTTTCATGGCGCGGCTGATGAACTGAGGAGTTCTCTTCGTCCTGCTCGTGATATTTTTACTGTTTTCTTTTGATCCGTGGTTTTTTACTGTTCTTCTAGAGAAAGTGGTATTTTACCATCGACCGAGGGACGGCGAAGCGGCTCACCCCCCAGCTCTTCAACTAGCGCAAGAAGATGATGGACAGCTGGATAGCTTCTTTGATCGGTTGTGTTTCTTCGGCAGAAATCAGTTGTAGGGCTATGTCTGTCAGTTTGGCTCTTGTCCCCATTGTAGTATTGCGTGCGGTGTTCATTTTTTCTTTATGGACGAGAAACATCGGTGCACTTTTCAGATGAGCGAATAGAGTGAACACACAATACATAATAAGGGCGCGGACAGAGAAAAACTCTGAAATAAATCAGTAGCAAGCTTCCGTTGAAACCCTGCCGTTCACATGATGCCATGTACTGCGCTGTAGTTTGAATAGTCAACTGAATTGGTGTAGTGCGAAGGGGGAATTGACACAAAGTTAATTCAGGCACCATGTATTGCGGGTTGATTAGATAAAACGGCACGGTGTCTTTTGCAAAAATGCGGGCGATGACCGGTCCGGCCACTTGTCACGCTGTGATAGGCGGGGGACTAAATCATCACATCCAATGCAAGTTGGAGTATGGTGGAGTTGCATTTTACAAGTTTGGGACTAAAACATCACATCCTGCGCAAGTTAAGGTATTTGGGATGCTTTTACCTCAAAAAAAAAATGACCCCTTTGTCGTTGGTGAGGGTGCTCCGATGCAGCGCCCAGTCCACTTATATGAGCCTTATCCCCTCGCCATCATTGAAGGCAACGGCGGAGCTACGTTGGTAGCTGCAGGGGCCATGGCCCCCTAGCCTGGCTAAAATATTCCGTTAACGCGTTATTTGGGACATGACTTAATGGGATTGAGCCTGACTTAGCGAGACACATTCGGGTTGGAGTTTGTGCTTTGATGTGGACTATCTGGACTTGCAGAAATGATTTGGTTTTTAACAGAATATCATGTATCCATTTTTTGCAGGTTTTATTCCGAACTACGCTCTGATCCGTACCTGGTCGCTACTCACCTAGACGGAGGCCAGGGAGCATTTGGTTACTGGGTCTTTCCGATGAAAGATGGTAGCTCGGGATATCTTGAACCAGTTTGGATGGCGGTCATGTAATAGGATAGGCATGTAGTTTACCTATCTAGTTTTAGCCAGCCGGTTGTGGCGTCTTCTCATGGCTAGTGGATGTTTCTAGCCCTTTTTGGCTTTGTGTGAACTTTCTTTGCTTTTTATTACTTTTGGAGACCTTGGAACCATGTTGGCACTGCTTTATTTGGTTAATAAGATGGCCGTATGCATCTTTCTGATGCAGAGGCCGGGGAATTCCCCCTTTTCGAAAAAAATATATTTAAAAATGTCTAACATATGTCAGAAAAATGTTACATATGTGCTCTAAAAACGTGCATTGCGTACTAATAAAAACTAGACATTTTATAAAAAACAAAAAACCAATGAAAAAAACAGAGAAAAAAACCAAGTAAGAAAGAAAAGAAAAACAAAGTAATGCAAAGAAAGGAAAACAAAGAACAATGAGAAAACAAAGAAAACCAAAGGAAAAAAATAAAAACTAAAGAAAAAGCAGTTAAAAACAATTAAAACATAAAAAACAAACGTAAATGAAAAATAAAAAATACCATAGAAAACTGTCCGTTAAAATGTGCCTGCCCGCTTGACGTCGCCAGTAGGCGATTCCTATAGCCCAGGCTGTGGTTCCGGTGGTCGAGCTAAGCTTTTATAAGCAGAAAATCGCGGTGTTGTTTGTAAAGCTCGTCGAGCCCGATTATTATAGGCCTGCTCGCTAAAGGGAGTGCAAGCAGCTGGCAGCCCATCCAAACCCTTTTTTTTCTAGATAGAAATAAGAAAGAACTGTCGGGGAACAAGCAGACAGCGGAGGGAAGCCATTGGAGAGGAGATTGGCATCAGGGCGGGCCCAGAATTTGAAGAGTGTGTATTCAAAATTTCATAGGGAATTTTTCCAAACCTTAAAGCCTTGTTTTTGCCACGTATAACCAAATATATCACCATAACTCGTGTGGAAAATTCAAATTATCATGCCTAAATAATTTATAATTCAGTGCAAAGAAATTACAATTTCAAATACACTTGAAAAGTAAGCCAAGTAGCCAAATTAACTTACAATTTCTAAATTAACTTACATGGCTCACACAGCCGGCCTACTGGGCAATGAAAAACGAAGGTGATGCGTCGACACATAGATTTAACTTACATGTAGTGCGTGTAGCGATACATAAATTTAAAACAACTAAGGTAAGATTCGACACAAGAAAGCAAAGCCCAATTTTAACGTCGGAGGATAAAACTGTATTAAGATACAGAAACGCCTCAAACAATCTACCAGATCGAGCGAGCCTTAATTAGATGCGGCAATGCCCACTGCTGCCGACTGCAGAGATGGATTAAAGATGGATCGAGACAACAAGAGCCAACGGATGGCTGTCATCGGATGCCTGGGTCGTGTCGCCCGCTTGCCTGTGCTGTGGTGCACGTGGTGGCGATCAGCCCAGCCGCCATGCCCTGCCGCTTCAAGTGCGAACAGAATTGGGGATGGAAGGCGTCGGTTTCTTGTGCGATATGTTTTTTTAAGGAAGCGCTATGCTATCGATGGATCCATGGCTCGTGTGGCCTAGCCTTCGTTTTTGGGTTGAAATCGTTAGCTAGCCTGTTTTACCGTATCTTTTTCATTTTTCCGCATACATACACATGGTATACACTATATATATACATGGTTTCTTGGCAAAAAATAATGGGTATTCAACTAAATACCCTTGAATTGAACTGCCCCCTCCCCTCCCCCCTCACCGCCGCTGACTCTACCCCCAAGGTCCGCGCTATTGCTTGGCGAAGATGAAGCATTGCGCCTCCCTGGACTTGTGCTGGACAGCTGTTGGCTACTTAGAACCATATTGTCAACGTGCCGATTTGATCTTTTCTTTTTCCTTTATAGCAAATCATAAGCTTAAGTGATTAGTCAACAGGGTTAGTCACAGTATGGCACCATGCTTTCCTCTGTATGTTGCCTCTTCATCCTTGGTGCGCACACAGTGTTGCCTCTTCATCTATTCAACTCATCATCTCGTTTCGGACATGCCAAATGCGCCACTAAATCATAATCATCATTTTGACATCTTGCATGGCTGTCCAGCAACTCAGTCTGGACCTGTATTGCCAACGTCCTCTCTAAGGCCGGCAGCATGCAAACTTCTGACATGGCTCGCCACAGTGTAAGTGTAGTCGTTCGGGGACATAGAACTGCAGAACGTATGGAAGCAGGTATCCCTTGTGTTCCACAGCACATACATCCTTTGCTCTCAAACAAAACCCAACCAAAATGAATGCACATACACTAGCAAAAATACATGGAACTGAAACCATAGTCGTACATTTGCTACGCAATCAGAAGTTGGTTCATTCATTTGCGACACACAAACTTCTTCAGAGTTCAAACAATTCATAAATTCGTTGGTAATAAATGAACAGCTGGTCCACCTTTATTACATCACAATGCTTTAACAAAATACAAATTTTGAAACGCAGACGATGGGGACTCCAAACTTAACAGAGGAGCTAGTGTTTTAAGAAAATACAAAGTCTGAATTGCTCTGACTCACAAAACCAAACCATGACCAGAACCGCGCACGAGAATAATTGGCTACCAGGCATGCATGATGGGCCAGAATAACTTGGCAAACAGTTCGAAGGTTCCTCCACTTCCAGCAATAATAGCGTAATTCCAGTCCAGATTCCATTAAAGTACCTGAACAGATAATAGGATCGAGAGACAAAGCAGATGGATCAATCGTATGTTACTGTAACTGTAAACCGGGTAGGCTTGGAGCGACTATTACTCTCTTTCTCTAACTCCTTGAGAGCACGGCCCAGTGCAGGGTTGTATCTGTTACCAGTGAGATTCACCTCTTTAAGGTTCTTCAGGTGCTTGACGCCGACTATCCTTTTGGATTCCCATTTATCGAAATTCACTGTAAGGTTCTCTAGCTGTGTCATGGATCCTTCCTCGAACTCAAATACTTCGGGATACTGTCTATTGGACTGCACCATCATGTTCTTCAGTGCAGGAAATTTGTGCTTCGTGGACACCACCAGTTCAGTGCCAACATAGAATTCATGTTGGAATATGATGAGCTCGAGGCTAGGCAGCTCACACAAGACATCCCATAGTTGGCTATCCTTAAACCGCGCCCACGAAAGAGTAAACTGAACAAGATATGTCAGTGACCCGACCCATTCTGGTAATTTACTCAATCCCCCAGCGAACCTAAGGAATCGAAGGAGGTGTGGAGGCGGAAGACCAATAAGATAATCCATTGTCATACCGTCGCTCTCCATTTCTCCCAGGTTGAGCGACCGCAGAGAGTACATCCTGGACAGGGAGAGGGCAAGCTGTTGACGAACGTCCTCTCGCTGAGCATTGTTGTCAATATATACAATGATAGCTTCAAGCTGTTCTAGTTCACCAAGCTCTTCAGCAATCTTAACATCACCGAGTAGTATTCTAGTCACCTCACGCAGTGCTTTCATGTTGGAGACTCCTCTTGGTGCTTTCCACATGACGGACCACTCGCCCTTTTTCCCGAACTTGAGGCACTCAAGTTTATCTAGCTTTCTGACAGTTTCAGGTAGACCATCAAGGCACGTCTCCTCTAAATCAAGTGTCAGCAAATGTTCTAGATTGCCGACTTCGTCAGGCATCAAGCTGATATACGTACCCCTCAAGCTCAAGAACTTGAGAAGGTACATCTGGCAAATATACTTCACATGCTCGTTGGCTAGGCCCTTGCAATCTTCCATGTCAAGTACCCTCAGCAGAGTGAACTCGCCCAACCGATCAAGCAACTTGTGCCCTTGGATCTCAAACATAATCAGTGAACGGACATGCTGCAGCTTCATTTCATCGATAACATTCCTCCTATCACGCCCCAGTACTCTTCCCTTGGACGTAGAGTCACGGACCTTAGTGGTCCCACGTACTCCGCCATGAACAGAGAGACACGAATTTTATCATACGACATCCCTTCATTCTGTCCCCCTACCAGGCTAACAAAGTTTGCCTCCAGGCATTTGGACACAGCAACCTCAAGCATCATGTCGTGCACCCGACATGTCTTCATCTCGCCGTGGACGTCGATTATAGATCAATCATGTTTCTACTCACCAACTCGTTGAAGTAGTCTTCTGCAACCTCCATCGTGGTTTGCCCCCGCCTCGCGATAATCAGTCCTTCAGCGATCCATCTCTACAAGAGCCGAGTCTTCAAGAAAACATAGTCCTCTGGAAAAATGGCAACATACATCATGCAATCTTTGAGGTAATGTGGTAGATGGTTGTAGCTGAGTGTGAGTATCTGTCTCATCCCTTCGAGTGTAGGGTTGTTCTCCATTGCAGCACCAATTGAGTTGCAAACTGTCCACCAAACGTCAGCTGCATTATAGTTGGCGAGGAGGCTCGCAATGCTAACAATCGCCAATGGAAGCCCACCACATTTCTTCAAGATTTTCTCCATTGCCTCCTCAAGATTCTTTGGGCAAGCGTCAGTCATGGATCCAAATGCTCTACTAAGAAACAGCATCTTTGCATCTGATGATTTGAGGGGCTTGATGTGATAAATGTAATTACGATAAACACTGGCACGACTGCATGCTCTGGCCACAGTTTCTATCCGAGTGGTCACAATTATTCTGCTGCCACACTTGTTTTTTGGCAATTGGGATTGAATTAATTCCCATGCACCTACGGTCCATACATCATCGATCACAATGAGGTACCTGGTTGTAATATGTATGCCGAAGTTAGGATGACTTATATAAATGTGCAAAAGGAAAATGGTACATACTCCCCTCTGTAGAGAAATATGAGAGCGTTTATAGTGATCTAAATGCTCTTATATTTCTTTATAGAGAGAGGACATTATAACTACATTACCTATATTTGCATGAACATGACAGCTTAATATTATCATGTGTTTTTTATAAAGGCCGCTTTTATTAACTCAAAATGTAGCATTTAGCGGATACAAAACATGATGAGCAACACCTGGCCTCTGATGAATTAAGACGCACCCAATCAAACACCAACAATCTGACAAACAAAAAAAACGACATATTGCCAACGGTTGAGTCATATAGGATGGGCCGTCTCTGTCACGGTGCTCTTGAGAGCCCACAAGCACTCGGGTGGGTGCCCCTGCATGGCCAAAATCACTTTGGCCTAAAACCCACCTTCTTCCTCCTTCAACCTCTAACCATTGACTTGAGCTGCTCCACCATCCCCAAAACACAAAAAGTTTGATTCCTTCCTCTCCCTCACCCAAAACACTCCTATTATTTGGGTATTGGAAGAGGTTCACCTGATCTACACTTCCACCAAACAGATTTGTGATTACCCAACTTGTTCTTTACCAAAACTTCTCACTCTTAGAAATTTGGGCTCCTAGGCGGTAGGAGTCATGCCTGGAAGCTTCCTTGCTTGTGGTGTTATTCGGGAAGTTTGTAAGCGTGTCATGGTCACCTTCAAGATCAACCTCGAGTGATTTGAGGCTCATCGTTAGGGGTAACGCAAACAGAGAATAGGATGAGCCACTTGGTGGCTCTCCAGAGCTTTGGCTTCAGCATCCCTCCAAAGGAATTTAGCATTCCCCAAAGGGTGTGAAATTTGTGATAAAACATGTGCGTCCTTGACACACTTGTAGTTAATAATTTCTCAAATCTTTACTTGCTTTGTATGCTTGTTGGCTTATTATATCCAGTTTGTTTACTAGCATACCTTTGCTTTGTGCTTGCTTGCCATATAGCTTTTATTCACCTAGTTGCATTTCCAGTGAACATATTTTATCCGTATTACCCTAAAATTGGAAGATAAGCTTAAAATTTGAAGTATCCTATTCACCCATCTAGTCGATCTCTCAATCCTTTTAGTTGGTATTAGAGCTTTGGAGATTTATTAGCGCAGAACCGCCGAAAGAATGGTGGATCATGAGAAGGAAGGTGTACACCTACCAAAAGGTGGAGAGACTAGGTCGCCTCCGCCAGAAACACTCTTATTATTTAGGTATTGGAAGAGGTTCACCTAATCTACACTTCCACCAAACAGATTTGTGATTCCCCAACTTGTTCTTCACCAACACTTCTTACTCTTAGAGATTTCAGCTCCTAGGCAGTAGGAGTCAATGCCTGGAAGCTTCTTTGCTTGTGGTGTGACTCAGGAAGTTAGTAAATGTGTCGTTGTCACTTTCTAGATCAACCACGAGTGATTTGAGGCTCATTGTTAGGGGTAACTCAAACATAGAATAGAATGATCCACTTGGTGGCTCTCCAGAGATTTGGCTTAAGCATCCCTCTGAAGGAGTTTAGCACTACTCAAAGGGTGTGAAATTAGGGATAAAATATGTGCGTCCTTGACACACTTGTAGTTAATCGTTTCTCTAATCTTTACTTGCTTTGTATGCTTGTTGGCTTATTATATCTAGTTTGTTTACTAGCATACCTTTGCTTTGTGCTTACTTGCCATATAGGTTGTGTTCACCTAGTTGCATTTCTAGTGAACATATTTTATCTGGATTACCCTAAAGTTGGAAGCTAAGCTTAAAATTTGTAGTCTCCTATTCACCCATCTAGTCGATCTCTCAATCAGTTTAGTTGGCTCTCTATTAGGGCAGAGCCGCCAAACGAGAATATGGTGGATCATGAGAAGGAAGGTGTACACCTACCAAAAGGTGGAGAGACTAGGTCACCTCCGCCAGAACTTCCACCACTACACAACCTGTTCCTCATGTACCAACCGCTAGCTTGACCGTGGCGGACTTCACCTCCTTAATGTCAAACTTTAAGTTTGTTTTCATAAAAGAAGTCTAGTCCATTGCCAAGGAACAAGTGGATAAGAAGTTAAAACTTGCACATCTGCATCTTCCTCAATTGTTCCAACTAGCAGTGACCCGCGCATTTGCGCGGCTAGATTTACCATATTATCACATTTCATATTTATACTTACCAATTATTTATCTCATAGTTAACTATTATTTGGCATGTAAAAAAAGGGGCACTCCTAATGTCACCTTTTTTCATTGGCATCTTTCATGCCTTTGTACGTGGCCATGATGCATGCATGTTCTCTTTGGTTCTGCCGCTACAAAAATTCTTTCGGATGGTGTGCATTCCCCTAGCGGCGTTCAGTTAGTGCAACTCTAAAGAAGTGAGCCAACCAAATATTTGTAGAAAAATTGATGTACAACCCAGATACCGGAGTTCAAGTTCTCATGGTCATGAATTTGGATTCCTATTCATTCAAAACAAAAGTTATGACACCTACCTAGCCGGCTTCTTTGTCAAAAGTGAATGCATTCCTTCACTCGCCCCTTGTCTACTCGTATATTTTCCTTTGATGCCGAGGATTTTTATGTTGATATATTTGAGCAGTGTTTCGTTTACACTGGTCTTACGTGACTGCATACTGCTTGCCTCTTAACATAAGTAAAATCGTTGATCTTATGCCAATTTTTTTCATGTTTCTGTTTTATATATAGTATTTTATTTCCCATATAGACTCAACTGATAATTTTCACAAAGCGTTAATCCAAAATACAGAAAATTAATGGATTGTAGATCGACTGTATTTTACTTACCTTCTCAATCCAATAGAACAAATTTATTTTTTCAACTATCGTATCTACAGTAGAATTCAATAAAAGTTGCAATATTCAATATGGTCAATTATTTCTACACGCTCGGCTAAGATTGATAGACGCTTTGTTAAGAGTGTATTCAATACTCTGTAGATTGATAGACTGGCTCGGCTAAGAGACTCATAACGACCTAGTCAGGCTGGTCTGGTCCGATTCAGAATAGAAAGAAAAGGAGAGTTCATGTGCCTGGTTCAGATATATAAAGAAAGAAGTGTGTGACTGTGATGCCACCGGCCTACAATTCTAACTTGGAGGCCTTAATTAGATTACTACTTTGTATATGTGCCTGGTCTTCCCGAACGTGTAGCATTTGCATGTGTACATGACAACGTGAAAGTGAAATATGCAAATAACATTCTGCTCGGACGATGCAAATAATGTTAGCATTATCTTATCAATTTGTCAAAATTAAGAGAGAGTTCATTTCTATCAAATAATATGAATTGAAAAAAATAACCACTGAATTTAAATGACCTACCCCTAGGATTGCTCTTAAGTGTGTCTGTTTCATTTTATCTTATTACAGCCCAACTAAACTACATGAGTTAATCACCTTTGTAAATTTATTATTTTTGCTTCATTTTAGCAACATCATTTTTTTAGAATCAGTTTTACAACATTTTGTTATCTTGTTAAGGGGTATTTAGCAACATTTTCTTTTTTAGGGCAATGTTGTCTCTTTTTTTTAGAAACAGGGCAACGTTGTCTTCTTCTTTTTTGAGTTAGACAGGCAACATTATCTGTGTGGCCTAACACACCTTTGCTTTTTTTTTTATCTCCTTCTATCTTGTATTGGGCCTAATAGCCAGCCCAAATCATACTGCTTGCGGCCGATCACCACGCCTTGCTAATTTATTTTCTATTTCTCTTTCTCTATTTGTCTTATTTGTGATTGTGTTTAAAGACAGCCCAAACCATAGTCTACGATTGATTTCCTTTGCAAGAGACGTACAGGAGACGGACACATCTTTCCTTTGGTGATATTTCCAAGGATTCTGGCTGTTTTTTACCCCGTACATGTTGTTTATGTTTGTACGTGTAAAAATATTGCTCTTGGATATTCACGTCTTTTGAGTATCAGCTGTCCACTCTTGATTTTTTTGTTAAACATAAAATAAAGATTTTTCTTAACACAGAAAAAGAGTTTGGATTTATTAATTTGGTGAAATTATGAACCAACTTCTATATGAAATTGTAGATGACATCATGAGGT